TTCAAAAGTTAATGCCTTTCTGAATGGCTCCTGCTTCGACCTGACCGCTCTTTATCCTTTTCCCGGTCCTTATCACCCTCGCGGTCACATTCTCTCCTGTCTCTATCACATTCTGAATGGCTCTTGATGCTTTTCTCTGTCTCTTAACTTTGCTGCAATCGAGTGTACAGTTGAGATCAGGAACCGAAGAACTGGCCTAAGATGGTAGCAACCGAGGCCGTGCTTGGCGCCATACTTGAGTTCCCCAACGTAGCAGCTGCCATTAGAGCAAGTCTGCACTCCGACGCCGTGGCTCTGCCTATTGTACCATTCCCCTGAAACTTGCACAACCAATAAGCTGGATGATAGATCCAAAGATGAGGAAAGTGCAGTTGAAGGCCAATCCAACGGCTTTCCAGTAAGGACCTAGCAAACCATCCAACACTTCGAACCATTGGATGACATGGTAGCAGCTGCCACCGAATACATCTTATGTTCCCCAACGTAGCAGTTGCCACCAGATACATCTTGTATTATTTACTTTACTTGCAGATTCACGGTCGGATTTACGTTGTTCTAAGACCTCCAGTTTTGTGCATCAACATTTGGCGCCGTCTGTGGGAATCGACACGAAAAGCTATGTCAGTTCTCTCTCAATTTTTCACCTCCGCCATGAATATGCAAAACCCAAGAGCCCAAAACCTCACTTTTGGATTTTTTCCAGAAAACCTTCCATCTCTCTCTCTGGGTTTTATTTATTGGTGTTGTACTTGGTGCATTTCTAAAAAAGTGGCAAGCAGCAGCTCTCTGATTCCCATCAAATTTGCCTTCCTCCAAGGCCAGTCTCTCTCTTTTTCCTGCTTCCACGACACCACCAACCCTTCACCCATTTAATCAATCAAACCCTAAACATTTTCAAGAAATCCAAGAATTAAAAAAAAAAAACACAGTTCCTTCCTTCCTGCGTGAAAAAGCCGACGCAGAGGAAAATCGTCTTCGGTTGCTGGAAATGCTCCTCTTTTTCTGCTTTCTTTTCATTCATTCAAAGACCAAAACAAGATAAATCACTATCTTTCTCCATCTCCCATCTCTTTCTATCTCTACTTTCTCTCTCTAGAGTGTGAGGAGTTAAAGAAGGTAACCGATTCTGCAGAGAGTCTCGCATTTTATTAAATCCCTAACAAACTCTCTTCCTCTTCACACATTTCCATCTCCTAAAAGAAAATCAAATTTTTTTTTTTTTGTTTGAGTTGAGATCATTTAATCTGTCAGCAATTGCAGCACAGAAGCAATCAGAAGAAGCCATAACCTTCAACCAGACTGTTGACAGGGAGGAAGAAGAAGAACACGCAGCAGATGATAACTCTGGTTTTAACCTCAGAAGCTTCCTCTGGCATGGCAGATCCATCTACGACGCTTGGTTCAGCTGCGCATCAAACCAGGTTGCTCAGGTTCTGCTGACTCTGCCCTACTCTTTCTCCCAATTGGGAATGCTCTCGGGAATCATATTCCAGGTCTTCTACGGAATCATGGGGAGATAGACCGCTTATCTGATCAGCATTCTCTACATCGAATATCGAAGCCGAAAAGAAAAGGAAAATGTCAGCTTTAAGAACCATGTCATCCAGTGGTTTGAAGTGTTGGATGGTTTGCTGGGTTCTTATTGGAAAGTCGTTGGATTGGCCTTTAACTGCACTTTCCTTCTCTTTGGATCTATCATCCAGCTTATTGGTTGTGCAAGTTTCAGGGGAGTGATGCAATGGGCAGAGCCACGGCGTCGGAGTGCAGACTTGCTCCGATGGCAGCTACTACATTGGGGAACTCAAGTATGGCACCAAGCACGGCCTCGGTTGCTACCATCTCAGGTCAGTTCTTCGGTTCTTGATCTCAACTGTGCACTCGACTGTACACTAGATTGCAGCAAAGTTAAGAGACAAAGAAAAGCATCAAGAGCCATTCAGAATGTGATAGAGACAGGAGAGAACGTGACCGCAAGGGTGACAGGGACCGGGAGAAGGATAAAGAGCGGTCACGTCGAAGCAAGAGCCATTTAGAAAGGCATTAACTTCTGAAAAAGATAAAGACTCTCATCATGAAGGAGTGCATGTTCCCACTCTTCACAGACGACACCATGATGTTAAAGTGAAAAGAAAAGGCAAAAGAGAAAGCAAAAGTAGAAAGCAAAAGTTAGGAATAAACACCCACCAGAATGATGTGATTTACTTTTTTGACAGATGTATGATGTAATTTATTTTTTTTATCTCTCGGAGATATCTGTATAAACCTCATCAGAGGGTAATAATACCAAAAAAAAAAACGGCAAAGCCCAAAGTAAATGGGCTGGAATGTTGTGTGGAAGGCGAATGCCCATAAGCCCAAAATAGCACAAACCAGATGACCAAAAGTACACCCAGTACTACAAAAAATTATTCGGCACCCCGCCTCTATTATCAGCAACCAGGTGATCAAAAGTACGTCCAGTGCTACAAAAATTATTCGGTAGCCTGTCGCTATTACCACCAACCAGGTGATCAAAAGTACGCCCAGTACTCCAAAATTATTCGGCAACCTGCCGCTATTACCACCAACCAAGTGATCAAAAGTACGTCCGGTACTCTAAAATTATTCGGCAGCCTACCGCTATTATCACCAACTAGGTGATCAAAATTACGCCCAGTACTTCAAATTATACATGAGCATTACTCATGTCAATCATACATAAAAATTCATGAGCATTACTCATATCAATCATACATAAACATTCATGAGCATTACTCTTATCAATCATACATAAACATTCATGAGCATCACTCATGTCAACATTCATGAGCATCACTCATATCAACATCCATGAGCATCACTCATGTCAATCAACATAAACATTCATGAGCATCACTCATGTCAATCAGCTTCAAAAGCTTCATTTATAGAGCTCTAGCTTCAAAAGCTTCATTTACCAAAGCTTTAGCTTCAAAAGCTTCATTTACAAAAGCTCTAGCTTCAAAAGCTTCATTTATAGAGCTACAACTTCAAAAGCTTTATTTACAAAAGCTCTAGCTTAAAAAGCTCCATTTACAGAGCTCCAGCTGCAAAGCTTCACTTGCAAAGCTTCACCTACAAAGCTTCAGTGCAGGGTATACAAATACCGTCTCCGAACAACCGCCACTTCGACCCATACATGGATTCAATTTGAAGTCTCCAGCCAACATACTCTATTGACCGAAGACTTGGGGGACTACATTATGTACCATATATTGGGCCTCAACTGGGCCTCATGAAAAATACTTAGGGGACTCTAGCCCATCATTTATGTACTGAGGAGCGATCCCTTATTCTATAAAAGGGACTCCCTCACTTTCATTAGAGAGCACCCATTCTTCATGTATTGAGAAGCGAGCCCTTATTTTATAAAAAGGACTTCCTCACCATCATTAGAGAACATCAACTTTAGCCCATTATTCATGTATTAAGGAGAGAGCCCTTATTCTATAAAAGGGACTCCCTCACCATCATTAGAGAGCATCGCCTCCTACTGAGCAACCGCTTCGCCACGAGCATCGACTCTAGCTCATCATTTATGTATTGAGGAGCAAGCCCTTATTCTATAAAAGGGATTCCCTCACCTCCAACGCCACAAGCCGAGCCAACTAAGGCAACATCAGCCACAAGCTGAGCAGCCTTTTAACATGTGCTACATCTAGTTGAGCCTCATTTCACATTGAGCGCCGCCTCATATCGAGTATTCAGCTCTAGATGATATCTAGTTACTTCGGCCCACACATGGACTGAATTTCAAGTCTCCAGCCAAAAGACTATCTTGACTGAAGACTTGGGGGACTACTGTTTATACCATACTTAGGGGTGGTTTGGGAGTGAGGTGCTTAAAAAAAAACATCCATGAAAAAAAGCTGTGAGGGTTTTAGGTGTTTGGTAAACTGAAAAAAAAAAGGCTTATTTTGGAAGTTGCTGTGAGAATAAGCTGAAATCAAAGGGAAAAGTTGAAGCTGCTATTTGTAGCTTTGGAAAACTGGCTTTTTTTCAAAGCACACAGAGCTACAGTGCTCCTTTAATGAAAAGACCCACTATCAGACTGTTTTTTTTTTTCAAAAGCACTTTTACAAAAAAGTTTACCAAACACTCTGCTGATTTTTTTCACAGCCGCTTATTCTCACAGCAGCTTTTTTTCAAAGCACAGCAATACCAAACCAGCCCTTAGGGTCTCCGTATTTAGATCTCGTACAAATACTCGGGGTACTTAAATGTAATTATGTAATAAAGGAATGGGCAAATATGTAATAAGTGAGAAGCCATTATTCTATAAAAGGACTCATCACCCTCACAATTAGGGGGAGGTCATTTCTTAAGCCTTCTCACCCCTCTCAGAGCCTCACCCTCATTACAGAGGCTCTCTTCATCTCTCTCCCTCACAAACAGAGAAATACATAATCAGTGTGGACGTAGCCCAAATCTTGGGGTGAACCACGATACATCTTATGTTATTTACTTTACTTGCAGATTCACGGTCGGATTTACGTTGTTCCAAGACCTCCGGTTTTGCATCAACAAAGTATGTCAGATGTTAAAAAGTATTTGAATTTTAAGAATGAAAATGATAAACATACACTGTTTTTAACTTCTCACACAACGCTTGTTCCTACCGCATGTTGTTTCTACTTGATTTGTTTAATTTAATGATTAGAAATAAAGAGAAGTGCATGAGAAGCTAAAAGAAACTGCTTACAATCCCAAATGAATGCGAATGAATCATTGAAAATTTAAATCGCCTAAATTATTTAAACGCCCAAACTCATCAGGAATGTCAAGATGGCCGAGTTGGTCTAAGGCGCCAGTTTCAGGTACTGGTCCGAAAGGGCATGGGTTCGAATCCCATTCTTGACAAAATAAAAATTTTCCATTTTTTTTTCTTTTTCGACTTTTTTTTCCTTTTTTTTTTCTTTTTCAACATTTTTTTCCAATTTTTTATGTTTGACATCAAGATGAAAATCAGAAGACCAAAAATATAATATAACTTTAAATTACTGATACAATAAGACCTAAGGCAAACAACTGCATTTAAATGTTTTAATATAAAGCTAAACAAATTTTAAAACTTTAATCAACGTTTTGTATGCTACAGTGCCGACTTTTTGAGTTGCCACGAGTTTTAGAGCATGTAGTTCCACTATGTGCCTTACCGGGCAGACTATCCAAATCAATGTCCGAAAACGAAGAGTAAGATGCGTACACTCTCTTCCCAGCTGATCCACAAGCGCAGCGCCTTACGTGCTGCGCCGCGTGCGATCCAACCTTGCACGGTACCTTGATGCAACACCAGACAACGGTTAAAGGGCAACAAATGCACAGTAAACAGGCATTGCAGAGAAACTGCGTGGCTTTTTCGCTCCATTTCGCCTTTCGTCCATGAGAAGAAGTGTAACTAGAAACAGATTGAGAATCCGAAGGCCTTGCAGTGTTCATCTTGCGTCGTTTGACATCGAAGGATTCGTTTAACGTAGCTTTCTTTTTGCTCTGTTACTCCTTATGTAAGGTTCTATCAAGTTGCTGTTCAGTGTCTTCTTTTTCTTCCTTTTTCCTCCTTTCTGTTTTACTTTCTGTGCAAGCTTTTCACTTTTTATCATCTCAGCAGAGCACTTGAAATATACTCCGGACGCCTTACGGGGTGCTTGATTCGTCAAGGACCAACTGCCTTGGAATATCGAAAGGCAAAGCAAAAGGGGGAACTGCGCGCCGTTGCAGGACGGGGAGGGAAGGGTGGAAAAAGAAAGACAGAAACCTTCTCAACCCTATGATGGATCAGGTTCCCTTAAACTTTTTCGAGTTTTAACGATGGATATTGTTGTTCATAAAGTAGCAGAATCTTATCTCAAACCTATCGTTATGCATCGATGCAGAAACCGTTCGCTCTGAAAGAATCCGATTCCAAATCGAGGATAATCTGTTGTCCTGGTGGAAGCAAAGCATATTTCAAGTAATAACAGACTGAGCAATATTAATGTTGTTGATGCACAAAACCGGATGGTCTTGGTACAACGTAAATCCGACCGTGAATCTGCATGAAATGTAAATGACACAAGAGTTATCGTGGTTCACCCCAAGGTTTGGGCTACGTCCACACTGATTATGTATTTATTTGAGGGAATAGAGAGGAAGAGGGTGAAAGCTTCTGAGAGCTTCTGAGGATGAGAGAGGGGATCTCAGGCCTAGGAATTGGCCTCCGAGAGTGAGAGTGAAGCCTCTCTCAATTGTTAGGGTGAGGAGTCCTTTTATAGAATAAGGGCTCCTCACTTATTACATATTTGCCCCTTCCTTTATCACATAATTACATTTAAGTCCCCCGAGTATTTGTACGAGATCTAAATACGAGGCCCTAAATATGGTATAAACAGTAGTCCCCCAAGTCTTCAGTCAAGAGAGTCTTTTGGCTGGAGACTTGAAATTCAGTCCATGTGTGGGCCGAAGTAACTAGATGTCGTCTAGAACTAATGCTTGATATGAGGCGGTGCCCAATCTGAAATGATGCTCAACTAGAAGTAGCACATGTTGCGAGGCCGCTTTGCTTGTAGCTTGTGTTGCCTTGGTTGGCTCGGCTTGTGGCGTTTGAAGGTGAGGGAGTCCCTTTTATAGAATAAGGGCTCGTTCCTCAATACATAAATGATGGGCTAGAGTTGATGCTCGCGGCGAGGCGGTTGCTCAGCTGGCGGCGTTTCTCTCTAATGAAGGTGAGGGAGTCCCTTTTATAAAATAAGGGTTCACTCCTCAGTACATGAATAATGGGTGCTCTCTAATGAAAGTGAGGGATTCCCTTTTATAGAATAAGGGCTCACTCCTCAATACATAAGTGATGGGCTAGAGTCTCCCAAGTATTTTTTATGAGGCCCAGTTGAGGCCCAATATATGGTACATAATGTAGTCCCCCAAGTCTTCGGTCAATAGAGTCTGTTGGCTGGAGACTTCAAATTGAATCCATGTATGGGCCGAAGTGGCGGTTGTTCGGATGTGGTATTTGTATACCCTGCACTGAAGCTTTGTAAGTGAAGCTTTGCAAGTGAAGCTTTGAAGCTAGAGCTCTGTAAATGAAGTTTTCGAAGCTGGAGCTTTTATAAATGAAGCTTTTGAAGCTAGAGCTCTGTAAATGAAGTCTTTGAAGCTAGAGCTCTGTAAATGAAGTCTTTGAAGCTAGAGCTCTTGTAAATGAAGCTTTTGAAGCTAGAGCTCTTGTGAATGAAGCTTTTGAAGCTAGAGCTCTTGTGAATGAAGCTTTTGAAGCTAGAGCTCTGTAAATGAAGTCTTTGAAGCTAGAGCTCTTGTAAATGAAGTCTTTGAAGCGGATTTGACATGAGTGATGCTCATGCATGTTTATGTTGATTGACATGAGTGATGCTTATGGATGTTTATATGAGTGATGCTTATGGATGTTTATGTTGATTGACATGGATGTTGACATGAGTGATGCTCATGAATGTTGATATGAGTGATGCTCATGAATGTTTATGTATGATTGGATGAGTGATGCTCATGAATGTTTATGTATGATTGACATGAGTAATGCTCATGTATGACTTGAAGTACTGGGCGTACTTTTGATCACCTGATTGGTGGTAATAGCGGCAGGTTGTCGAATAATTGTGGAGTATTGGGCGTACTTTTGATGACCTGGTTGGAGATAATAGTGGCAGGTTGCCGAATAATTGTTGAGTATGGGTCGTACTGTTGATCGCCTGGTTGGAGCTATTTTGAGCTTATGGGCCTTCGCTCTCCACACAACATTCCAGCCCATTTATTTTGGGCTTTGCCTCTTTTTTTTTTTTTTTTTTTTTTTTTTTTTTTTTTTTTTTTTTTACCCTCTGATGGGGTTTATACAGATGTCTTCGAAAGATAAGAAAAATAAATTACATCACTTTAATGTAAGGAAACCTTTATCTTCCTTCTAGGTCTTTCCGTAGCTTTCTCAGAAAATAGGAACATGCATGATGAAAGTGTGAGCATCTTCTTTGGCTTTAGTAAGATCTCATTTTTTCTTTTTCTTTTGCGTTGTCCCCATGTGCTCTCGAGGAGAGCCTCCATTTTTTTTTTTTTTTTCTACTTTTGCTTTCTTAGTGACATGATGGCTGGATTGCTTCATTGGTGTGCAATTGGCGCATGCCATCTCCACAAACTTCTTCAGACCCTTTCCTCCTTTTCCTTTTTCTTTTCTACTTTTGTTCCCACTGCATCTCTGTCCGTCTCTTGGCGAAAACTGTCTCTGTCTCTTGGCGAAACTGAAGGGTTAACTCCACTTGCTTTTCTTGGACATCTTGGTCGTGCCCATCCACTATCACGCCTCTTTTTTCTTTTTCTGCTGTTTGAAACACAAGCTGGTGTACTCCAGCTGTAAAAATCCCATCAAAGTACTTTTCTTTTCTGCTCTTCTGCTTTTGTTCCCCACTCTTCCATATTTTTTATTTATTTTTTTTTTTTTTGAAAATCCCTGTAGAGCTTAATGGCCGGTGGGATTTCCTCGCTGTGGACGAACAGCCAGACGTTCATCCCCGTCATGCACAGCTTCAGCACCTCCCATGGTGTCCCCTCGCTTGCAACGGATTTCGGCTATGAGGTGGCAGTTCTCGAGGTTTTCCTTGATGGTCTCGACGGTCCTGCTTCGACGCGGTGGTGGAGCTGGGGAAGTCGAAGTTCGGCTGGGACTCTTGTCCTGCCTCTGCCTGGTCTGGTGGTGGATTTTACTATTTTCTCTAAATAATCGTACTCGTCAAAATCCATCAGACCTTTCTTCTAACCAAACAATAACCTCACGGGTAAACCTCAGTTCTGGCGATATCTCCAGTGGAGCTTGGATTGGAGGGCTTTGGTTTCCTTAACAACGAACTGAAGCAAAGAACCAAAAAATAATGGAAACATTTTTCTCGTCGTACTGCAGCTGAGCCGCCGCGGACCCGTAGGCTCGACGCTCCAGATTCTCTTCGCCACATATCCCAAAAGCTTCAATCTGGGGCTGCCACTCTCGGTAACCAGGATGCAGGGACTGGCAGTATGAATGATTTAGGGGGAGCCATGTGAGACTTCGGCGATGCTCTCTGAATGTTTGATCCCTTCAACTCAGACGGTGTTTTGGCGTCGTAGATGTCCTCGTAAACGACGAATGCGGTGGTAACCCTTAAGCATCTGCAACAGATCAGGAAAGGGTTAGATCTTGCTCTCGGTGTGGTTGTACTCGAAACTGGAGACGTTCTTGGTCTCTGCTTCTTTGTCGCACCGATCCCGGTCTCTTTCTTCGTCTTCCTCTGATTTCAAGCTCAGGCCGTGGACTTCCGTGTCGCTAGTTGGTTCCGGTGAAGGAGCTCCGGCGGCGCTGGTAAAAAAATGGCAGCAATTACCTCATCGAGGAGGAAGAAGGCGGTAATGATCACAACGAGGATTCACCTCAATGTTTCTAGACGCTCCTTCCCGATAACTTCCAGATCCGGTCTCAGTATTTTGGATCGGGGATTGCATGGCGTTGAACCTGTAGTAATTGCCCTGCGAAGAGGACGAGTAGGCATGAGACGCCGGCGTAGAGATACCACGACCCCGTCCCGAACGGGATGTCGTCCAACGTCGTCATCAGGTCTATGGCGCCATTCAACGACATCATTTTTACCGTCGTATTCAGCTGTTAGATTAGGATACGTGATTATGCGTGATAGACGGCAGAGATTGAAGCAGCAGAGAAGCTCATTGTGAAATAAACAACGATGAGTTGAGGTTTTCTTGAGTTGTGTTGAGTGGTGTTTGGAGGTTTGAAACGGATTTTGCAGATTTGCAGATTCTGCAGATTCACGATGGAAGTGAAAAAATGAAAGAGAACCGACATAGTTTTTTGTGTCGATTCCCACAGACGGCGCCAAATGTTGATGCACAAAACCGGATGGTCTTGGTACAACGTAAATCCGACCGTGAATCTGCATGAAATGTAAATGACACAAGAGTTATCGTGGTTCACCCCAAGGTTTGGGCTACGTCCACACTGATTATGTATTTATTTGAGGGAATAGAGAGGAAGATGGTGAAAGCTTCTGAGAGCTTCTGAGGATGAGAGAGGGGATCTCAGGCCTAGGAATTGGCCTCCGAGAGTGAGAGTGAGGCCTCTCTCAATTGTTAGGGTGAGGAGTCCTTTTATAGAATAAGGGCTCCTCACTTATTACATATTTGCCCCTTCCTTTATCACATAATTACATTTAAGTCCCCCGAGTATTTGTACGAGATCTAAATACGAGGCCCTAAATATGGTATAAACAAATGTAACACTAACCATCTCATTAGCTAAAAAAGCAACTCGTTGGTAGTACATTAAGCTAGCAGCGAAAAAACTCACCGAACCAAAAAGACCTTTAAAAGTATTGCACATAAACTTCAAAACAACACTGACCTTAACAAGTTATACATCCATGTGAACATTTCAAGGACTTGAAGGCAAAGCAATTGGCTTCCAACATTAGTAACTAGCAAAATGTACCGATCCGTGCACCAAATATCCATTTGGGAGTATAGACTCTATAGCAAAATAATAATCTTAGAGCGGGGGTCAACCAATCAAAACACTGAACGTCAAGAAAATGTCATCCCAGACCAAGAAACTTATATGAGCTGCTGGAAATCAAGATCTCAAGCAGGTACTGCGCTCTTTCCTTGCAATTTCATGGTCTTGTTCTGCAGCCTCTCCATGAATGCAGGATTTGCTCTTAATCTCTTCTTGACATACGAAAGTCGAGCATCCTCAGCCAGTTTGTTTGCTTTCCCAGCTTCCTCAATGAGGGAAAGAAGTGTCCTGAGGCAGTCCTTTCTATTTTCTTCTCGGTGTTCAAATCTTCACAAGAAATCACGGAAACACTGATTCAGCTTAACTAATAAAATACACAATCAACAATACCATGTTGGAACTTGGAAGTGTTAGGATACACGCACTGCAGTCTGAACAACAATCAACCACTAAGAACTCCATTTAATAATGCAAATGATAATAGAGAAAGAGGGCATGCAGTTGCCAGTTGACTTACCTCTCACTAGTAATTGTAAGCTCATCTTTCCCTGGATGGTACCGCTTTCCAACCAAGTCTCTGAGCCGACGGAATTGATGCTTTGAAAGCCCGAGTTCTTTCACTGTAACAGACAGTTTCACTTTTCTATTCTTGGGATGCCAGGAATCACCACCAGGAGCAAAGACTACCCGTGTCTGCCACCTAAGGATTGGCCCTTCGCCTGGTGGGTCAGCTAGATCCTTCTTGTCATACACATCAGCCTCATCAAATTGTGGGGGGCCGTTGGCTTCCATCTTCTGCAAATAGTCCATGACAATCTCATCCTCAAACTCCTTGAACAACTCATAAGCTTCTTCAGGTTGAAGCTCCCCTCTTTCACACTTATCCCCTAAGTCATTGAACTTCTCTTCTACCTTCCTTTTCATGTCATCTGGAGAAGACAAATTATATTACACGTTATTCAAAGGGAATTGTTATTGGCACTCCAAAAATCTCATTCTACAGTCCAAACTTTCGATATTTGGAAAGAAAAATACACTTGTGAGGAGTGTAGAATGAGATTTTTGGAGTGCCAATAACACTTCCCTATTCAAAACTAAGCAAAAAATTGCAAGTTTGAATCAAAAGATGCAGCTTTGGTGACATTTGAACAGTTTCGTACAATATTCATCTCTGTGATAAGCAAAGAAAATGCTTGACAGCTAACAATTGAATGCACGGAAAATTACCCTTTGACCAAGGTCTAGCCGTGTTATGAATAATGATACTAAGAAAACAACTATTGCAATCATGTCGAAACAGATCAAACAAATGAAATTTTTTTAACACTCTGTGGGCAGATGCCGAAATGTCATAAAGCTTAACACACAAACATCCAGCAACAATAAGTGTATACCTGGTAGGAGCTTATCCCAGCTAAGCATATCCTCGAGAATCTCCTCACACTCCTTCGTATTTTTCATGATCCCGTGCTTAATTGCATCCTCAACAATATCATCCCACTTCTTGGGATCCATGTTGAAGTACTCATCGTTTGACATCCTCTTCATGACTATATCCTTTGCGTTATACAAGTCATCAATCTCTTCATCCGTGTCATGCAATTCCTCAAAATCCGATTCAAACTCTTGGTCCTTAACATCATCCAACGGCTGCATTTGCAATTCATCCATCAGCTCATCATCCGTTTCCTCATGCTTCCCAGCCAATCTCCTCTGCAGAATCGCTTCGAGTATGGCCGGAAGCGCCTCCTCGTCACCCTTAAAATATTTATCTATCCGCTCCTTCAGCTCTATAAAACCAAAAACGACAATTACAACGCAAATTTCAAACCCAATCGTTCTTATCTCTATAAATTTACAAGGCAAAAGAATAATAGTTACAAATATCACTTAAATTCAATAAATTTGTCCCTCCTTGGCACTAAACCAGAAACCCAATTAGCCAAAACATCCAAATAATCCAATCTCCATCAAATTATTTCACACTTTCTTCCTATAGAAAGGAAAAAATTACAAGACCCAAAACCCAAAAAATCCAAAAGATCAAAACTTTAATCTTTGGTAATAAAAAACTTGAAAAAAATAAGAGTTGGGTCACCTTTGTTATTGACGTCCTTAACTTCGACGGAAGCATCTTTCTTTTTGGTTGGGATCAAGCTCGAATCAGCAGCCGGATTGGGGCTTTCGGCGGAGGAGTCGCCCTCCGAGGAGAAGAACCGGCTGAGCAGGGACTGAGTCGAACGGGCGAGTGGGACGTGTGAGGGGGTAGGATTTGGGTTGAATGTTTGAGGAGAGAGAAGGCGATTGCGAGTGTAGAGAGAGAGATTGCTCAGCAGAGTTCGTCTCATGGTTCCTTCCTTCTCTCTCTAGGGTTTATCAAAAGTGGGGTTTTGGGTATCCATTAAAATGCTTTGCTTTCCTTCTTTCATTTTCCTTTCTCCCCAAACTGGAAAACGTAATTTGAAAAATAAAATAATTTTCATCTTACTACCTTAAATTTCTCAAAAATGGCACTTTGGTTATACTTATTTTTCGTTTCACTTTCATACCTAAAATTATAGTAGTCCACCACTTTCATACTTCCGTTAGCATTGCCGTCAAGTGCTCCGTTAACCGGTGACGTAGCAAGATCCATGGATTTAAAGGTCAGTGAACCAAGTCTGCATCAATATAGCTAGCTATCTTCAATTTTACAAGTTAGTTCGTTTTGCAGTCTGTTTTTCGCTGCCTCTGTCGATTGTTTGTATGTCTGTCTGTTTTGCTGCTCGATGATAGAGTTGGTCTGCTCTACCGGATTTCATGCTTCCTTTCGTGCATTTCGAGCCATTTGCGATCAACTCAAGTTTCTGTTCTCTATCTGTCGAAACCGGTGCATCAGATCAATCAGTTAGCTAAACAGCAGACTGCATAAAAGTGAGTTTCGTTCCTTCTTTTCTTTTCTGTAAACACAATGATTTCGCCAATTTGCAAGTACACATTTAACTTAACCTAAGATCATCGACAACCAGAGACATCCGAGTCCGAAAACTAAAACAATTTGAAGAAACTAAACCATGGAGGTCTTGCTTCTTTTGTACAACATTTTTCTAAAGAAAACTAATGAAAATAACTTAAAAATTTTGAGTTTTAGTGTAAAAATGTATTTTTTCGTTAAAGTGAACAATATCGGGAGTTTTTCGTTAAAGTTGCATGCTGCACAATGCAATGTACTTAATCCATGTTCCTTCATCACATTGTCTTTAATCGTCATCAAATTTCCAAATCACTGCCTGACAATTCATCGGAATCAGCTTCAACATCATCGTCGACATCACTCAGCGGCTCCTGCCCGTGCCCGAGAATCTCTTCCATCAATTTCTCATCGGTCTCTTCGTCCTTCCCTGCCAACTTCCTCTTCAGAATTGCTTCAAAGATTGATGGCAATGCCTCCTGATTCCCACTATAGTAGGAATCAATTCGCATTTTCAGCTCTGAAACCACATCATCAAAACCAAAGATTGAAATATTAAATTTAACCTCCAAAAAAGTAAGCATCTTTCCTCCTACTAATCTTGCAAGATCGAATTTTTATTGGAAAAAAAAAAAAACACGAGACACAAAATTTATTTAAAATTTCGGATCAAATAAAAGTACTAACCCCCCCCCCCCCAAAAAAAACCCAGAAACTCAACAAATTCCAACTTTTTTTCCAAGCCATGAATACTGCAAACTGCAAGTGATTAAAACATAAAAATAAAAATAGCATCTTTAAATCAATCAAATTGCGATTGTAATTTCCAAAATTTTCACACGAAATAGCAAATAATTAAAAGCTAAAAATTTCCCAGAAAACCCAAAATTTATATTTCTCAGAAAATCTTAATTACCTTCATTACTGACACCATCATCCCCTGCATCATTGGAAGCCTCTTTCCTGGGTGAGGGTGACTCGGTGGAGTAGAAGCTGAGTCTGGGCCGAGTCGAAGCAGCGAGCGGAGGGCCGAGTTGGGCTTTAGGGATCGGATTGTAGCAGGGAGGAGAGAGAAGACGAGTGCGAGCGTAGAAACAGACATTTCTAAGCAGGGATCTTTTCATCGTTAGGGTTTTTTTCTCTGCTCTGAGTAGGGTTTAAACGGGAAAATACTGATAAAATGGAAGAGTTATCTGGACCTATCGGCGGATTTGAATCATCAGGCCCACATGAATTACGGGCTTTGAGTGGAAAAGTTGACATAATATTGGGCTTGTTTTTTTTTTTTTTTTAAACCTACCTTTTTAGGAATTTTTTTTGAAATGTCATATAAACTTGTACACCCTTTAATTTGTCATAGAAACTAAAATTCTAAGCAATTTATCATACCAACTTTCTGAAATCATCAATTTGTCATCTCATCCTAACTCCGTTAAGTTTTTCAAACCAAAATAATTCATGTGCGAGGCACATGACTTGTGTTCAGGGTTGTTTCTATCATTTTAAGGACTTTTTACAAATTCTTTATTTTTCTTTAGTAAAACCCTTAAATTTTGTGTTTGATGGTATTCATGCGGATCATTGTGTTCGAGTAATGTATGTGCATTTACAACTCCATTTGGCACCATACAAGTTCTCAACCAGTTTCTCGTATAAAGGAGCCCATATAAAATTTTATTTTGTGGCATTCCAACTAAACTCACCCACTTGTGTATCTTAGCATATTTTGAGCAACCATACGAGAATGCAATGCAAAATCATTTGATTGCTACCATATCAAAAATATTGTTCCATTGCTTGATTATGATCAAAATAAAAAACACCAAATACTGAGGAAACAATGCTTAAAGTTCACAACATTGTCTTCATCCGAAAAAATTTGACATTAACAAAATGTCTAAATGACAGAAACCCTAGAATTGAGGCTTTAGAAACCCTATAATTGTTTTGATCAAATGCAACTTAATAGAAGGAAGTGGGGTGTTAAAATGACAGAAATAATCTTGAACACAAGTCATGTGCCACACACATGACTTATTTTGGATGAAAAACTTAACGGCGTTATAGTAAGATGACAAATTGATGGTTTCAGAAAGTTGATATGACAAATTGCTTAAAATTTTAATTTATATGACAAATTGAAAACTGTGTACAAGTTCATATGATATTTCAAAAAAATCCCTTTTATAATGGAAATGATTCTCGAACATTTTTTCTTTCGCATGTTTCAATGTAAGGTAGTGTTATCCACACATTCATTTTTACTTCTCGCACGCTTGTCTCAAATTTTAGCCCTTGGATCGAATGAATTCGAGAAGATCAATGGCAAAAAAATTAACAAGAGTGTGTGGGAAGTAAAAATAGGTGTATGAATAACACTTTCCTTCTATGTATTTTTGCTCATGGATTCTATTTAAGTAATTAATTCAAAGATTAAATAAATAAAGGTGTACATAAGAAGAATAAAGTGTACAAAAAAAGAGCACGAAAATTATTTCCATTGTCGAGCCTGGAATGATGGTTTATAATTAAGTAAGACATTAAAGTAATTGATTGTATGATGTAAATATAGCCTAAACCTAAGTGGGTAAAGGATTTCTAATTTGGTTGACATTGCTTGATGTGCGAGATCACTTAAGCACATCCTATATTACTTGGATTAGTAGCGCACACTATCGGGGTGGGTAGCTATAATCATGATAAAGACTAGAAATTACTTTCTTTTGCTAAAATTGGATCACTTAAGCACATCCTAAACTACTCAAATTGGTTGTGCACACCATCAGGGTAAGGAGCTATAATCATGATAAGGACTAGAAATTACTTTCTTTCGGTAAAATTGGGCATGGATTTATCATCACTTAGCAAGAAAAAGAAAGGGAATCAACTATATGTTTTGATACATATTCACAACTATGTAGTTTAATGATACTTTACTTTCATGGTTAAAAGAAATCCAAGTTCAACATATCGCCCATTAATTAAAAGTTCTCAAATCTGTTTCGTTATGAAAAAAAAAATTAAAATAGTTAGAAATGACATCATGTTTTTTTTTAAATATCTTCATATTATGATATTTTTATTTAACGGATGAGTGATGTGACATTTTGAAAATTCTTTCTAATTAGAAACAAAAATAGAGATTTTAATATATAATCTTAAAAACTTTAGTTTTGTAGTTTTATACTCTTAATTTCAAATGTAATTTTGTCCTTCATGTTTGTTTTATTCTTGTAGTCAATTAAAAAAATTAAAATAGTTAGAAATGACATCATGTTCTTTTTTAAATATCTTCATATTATGATATTTTTATTTAACGGATGAGTGATGTGACATTTTGAAAATTCTTTCTAATTAGAAACAAAAATAGAGATTTTAATATATAATCTTAAAAACTTTAGTTTTGTAGTTTTATACTCTTAATTTCAAATGTAATTTTGTCCTTCATGTTTGTTTTATTCTTGTAGTCAATTATTTCTGTTGTAAGTGATTTAGATGGTTAGCACATTGTTTTCTATTATTAAAACCCCTTATTACATAAGAAATCAAATTTTTAACATGTGAATTGTAACCAGAAAGATGCTAAAATATCTCTACCAAAATTTTCCAACTTCTAAAAATGTTTTGTCGAAACTTGACCACCTGTTAGTCTTTTCTTTGTGAAAGGTTGAAAAATAAGCATGGCTACAGGCAGATCACATATGACACACCTCGACCTAAATCAGGGCGTGCTGGCCGTCACGTGGGAGTGACGTAATCATGTGCACAGTGCGGAAGTAATAAAGATATAAGGGAAATGCGAATGAATAAAAACCAAATTACTAGCAGTACTAGATAATATAGAGTGCGAGCGAGATTAAGTGTGAAATACACAACCAGAGCATAAATATCCTAGATGCAGTCAAGCAAGACAAGTACTAAATGTACAACACCCAAGGGTGATCCTAATTTTATGATTTTATGTCAGAATCCCCACCGAAATCCTCGTGATCCACCTAAGCACTTCTACCTAAAACCTAAAGGGGCGCAAAATAGAAAATATGAGCGGGCAAAAACAAAGTTTTTCAAAATCATTTCATTTCTCAAAAGTTCTAACCCCTTACCGTAAAACCTGTATAATTTTCCCAGAAAAAATATAATATATGCTATATCAGAATTCATGCTTAAGATGAAAATCCATTAGGGGTGGGTTCGGTTTAAATCGGTTCGGTTTTTTGCCAAAACCGAAACCAAACTGAAATTTCGGTTCGGTTCGGTTCGGTTCGGTTCAAATTTTTTTCGGTTTTTTTCGGTTCAGTTTTTTTTCGGTTCGGTTTCGGTTTTTTGTTTTTATTTTTTTTCAAAAAATGAAAAACATTGAAATTTTAAATTTTAACATATCCAACACAATCATAACATAAACATTCTAACTATAATCAAAGACAATGAAAATAAACATTTAAAGTTGAACTAAAATCATCAATAAAGTCTTTCAAAGTCCAAACTAACAACCTCACAACACAAAAAACGTACAAATGACTTAGAAAAGTTAAATTGTATGATGTTGTTCAAAGATCAGTGTTGTTTGCTTGTAACTGCATGTTGACAACTTGATTAGTAAAGGTAATGCGTGGGTGGATTTATTTAGTGTGTGTTGGATTCTTTTCCATCACAAATTACCCAAGTAATCTACCCGAAATAAATGTTTATAGATTATGTTACATGTTATATGAGAGTAGATTTGGAAAAGAAAGCTGGCACAGAAGTAGACAGTGCTATGGAGATGGATGTAGGTACTTCGGGAAGAGGTTTGGTTCTGGAACCTTATATGGGGGAGAAATAATAGGTTAGGGTTTAGAGTTTTTATAGGCCTTTTTTTAATATTTTGAGCTTAAAGTTTGGCAACACATTGGGTTAGCACATTTTAACTTACAAATTGGGTTTAGAAAATAATACCCAAAACAAATAATTAAATAAAAAAATTAATTTAATTAATTCGGTTCGGTTCGGTTTGGTTCGGTTTCTAGATCACTAAAACCGAACCGAACCAAAAGAATTCGGTTCGGTTCGGTTTTTTCAATTCGGTTCGGTTTTTTCGTTCGGTTTGGTTTTCGGTTTTTTTCGGTTTTCGGTTTTTTGAACCCACCCCTAAAATCCATAGAAGTATATCATGCCAAAGTAATCTAGTTAAATATATCAGTGCCATATATCATAACAGCCAGATCTACCTAACATGACCTGCACGGCTGAGTATATAGCTCATAACCAATCTCAATCATATCAAGTCAAATCCTGCACACGTGTCGGAACCACCTAAAGTGGTATGTACAACAGGACTAGGTGTAAAATAAATATGCTCTAGTGCTACGATCATGTGAAGACTGTGCGAATAATCACGGGTCACCTACGAGTCAGAACCACCTAAAGTGGTCTGTACGTCAAGTCTGTGCACCTAATTTGGATCCAAGGTGAGCATATGGTGAGGGAGGTGAACGTCACATGAAGGACTGTGCCATAACTCTGGGCGGGAGCTCTAACACTGGGATGCAGGTTTATGAGCTCTCAATACATCACAACATATCTCACATAATTGAAGCAATCTTATATCTTTAATTTATGAACTTACCTAGCACTTACATGTGCGTCCGCAGCACCAATCATAAGTATATGCAACTACTAATGCATAAATAAATAGACAGATACTTTGCATGGCATTTCAAAAACGCATAATCATTCAAATTCATTTTATGGGAAAAATCTCAAGTATATAAGTATATACGGAAAACCAAAAGCCCAATCACTGATATGTCGAAGGGTCGTAGCCCCCGAGCCTCGATTGATGGCGCTCGTCCTCCTGATAGGTCTCACTTATATGCGAAATAACTGAATAAACGTTATTTAAAGCACATACACAAAACTAGGAAATAACCTCTCAAACAATGCTCAAATGGGGTATTTGAATATACTACCATGACCTACTCAACCTTAGAAGCATCCCCAAATTTTAGAAAAAAATTTCATGACCCCACGCGCCTTCACGTGCCGGTTAAGGCGTGGCCAGACTCGCAGCTCACGTGCAGGCATGTGCCTGGCACACCCAATGGATTCCCTAACGGCGTTAAGGAATATTCCATTAAAAACTAGAATATGCCGTTAAAGTTACCTGACGGTGTCAGAATATTC